AGGAACTCCTGTGGAGGAATGGCCCGAGGTCCACACCTCAGCGGCAGATCATCTTGCTTGGATGTCATCTGGCTCTTGGCATCTCCTACATTTCCCCCCTCTAGTGTATTAAAGACATTTCTGAATAGGCAAGGGAGAAGGTCTGTTGGTTGTTTCTGCCATTCTCCTCACCGAGGAGCTTTCTGTTGAGTCAGGTGCCCGACTGAAATAGAAACGAACCCAACAAGTGAAATTCTCTTACCTTGCCGATACCAGAATAACCTTTACCTTTTTAGCCTGTTGTTCGAGGTCTTTGTTGTCCTAATTTTTCAAGGTTTAGATGATGCCTCCTAAGCTTGCCTGGGGCTTAATATACAGCCCAAAATAAGGAAATCCTATATCAATCCTCCCACTCTGCATAGAAGCTCCTGCTGCCTCTTCAGGGAAAAGGGGCGGTCAACGCCCCTAACGGCTTCCTGCTGAGGCTGGGCCGCGACATGGTAGAGGCAGCTCGAGGTCCCGCAGAGGAGATTGATCCAGGATTTCTCCACTATGAAATCGCCTAAGCTAAGGTCCTGTAGAAAGGTCAGTGAAAACAAACTTGTTTAAGGTGCTGGTAAAGTTTCCTGCTCGTGTCGAGGCTTAATCCAGCGGGCTGGTAGCCATTGCTTTTCTTGATGTTCTGTAATAATATGGGCAAAGCCTCGACCCCAATGCAGTACATAACCAGGCTTTCACTCTGTCATATCAGGTTTTTTTAATAAAAGGTAGGCTGTTGTACTGGAGAGGATGGTGCATGAATGAGAGATGTCCAGTGGCATTCTGCAGCTGTCTTTTCATCATTGCTGAGATTGAGACCATTAAGAGTGAAAAGAGCTTTAGTGAACAAAAGTTTAGGACTATTATTGAAGGGGAGGAAATGACCTGACCCCTTCCTTTGAAGCAGTAGCCAGTAAATTAGCCTTATAGGATTCTGTTCCTATGTCAGCACATGCCCGTATATACTTCTCTAAGGGAGCATTTTGTGCTCTCAAAGGTCGCAGGGCCTTTTGACGCTCCGAATTGGAATTTTCAAACATTAAAGTTTGGAAAAGCATGTCTCTCAGCTCCGGCTGGGCAACAGCCTTATCGACTGGAGTTTTTAGTCGGGCTAGAAAGTCAGTATAAGGTTCATTTCCCGACTGCATTATTTT